ATGACTAACTCTTTACCTTTAAGGGAAAGACGCGATCAAGTTCTCGCATGTTTTCTCTGGTTTAGTCAAATCGATACTAACATTTCTATTCTAGTTTAAGCTATGAAGCCCGGAAATTGATCGGATAATATCTTGATTTATACAAAATACTATGAAGCCTGGAATCGACCAGATAGTGGTATGTCTTAAATGCAAGCTATGAAGCCTGGAAATCTACCAGAAAACAGGTTAACCCCTCAGCAAGTTATTGTGAAGCCTGGAATCGACCAGATAGCAATACAAGATACCATGAAGCCTGAAATCGACCAGATAACAGTATAAGATGCTGTGAATACTGGATCACGACCAGATAGCGGCAAAGGACACTGAAACCTGGGACACGACCAGATAACAGTATAAGGTACTGCAAAGCTTGGAATTCGACCAAATAGTAGTTTGCTCGGCCAATTACTATGAAGCCCGGAAATCGACCGGATGTTAGTATGCCTTAAATTCAAGTTGAAACCCGGATGCGACCGGATAACCACTTAATTCCTTCTGAATCCTGGAGCACGACTAGATAAGAATTGAGAAATTGCAAAACTTGGAGGACGACCAGATAGCAAGTTTTAATCTCATCTCCCTAGTAAGTCACTGTAAAACCTGGAGCACGACCAGACAGCAGTCAGTCTTATTTTCCTCAGCAAATCATTGTAAATCATGGAGCACGACCAGATAGCAGTTCATTTTCACCTCCTCGACTAAGAGATGATTCCCCAGTAGAGTAACGGACAACTGAAGCTCCTAAAATTCTACTTCTCTCAAGACAGAGACCAGCATTCCCCAGCGTAATCCTCCCCCCAACAACAGGTATACAGGTTCTCGCAAAGGAATCTATTATGCGATCGACACTCCTTCTGATATCATATTTAAGCCCATCTTCCGTCATTGAATTCCAAATGGCATCGCAAGACAAGTACCACTTCATGCGAGTGCAAATTTCTGGGCACTCTAGTGTTCAATCATCTTCAACCTTCGGATCACGAAAGGCAGACAAGCCAATCTACATCCTCAGGTTTAAGAACATTGAATAGGGGCAGCTGTTGTACCCCAAAATTTTCCCACCCATATTTCTCAATACATTTCAAGTGAGGTCCTCAAATTTCTCAAGGAAGCCCAAGGGTTGGCCAAACCAACTCTCTCCAAAGGCAGTCTACCCCAAATTAGGGTTTCATTTTGCACCAAGATGTTTGAATAAAAAGGGTCCCAAATACTCAATATTGTCCTAATATGTTCTCAAGATCATCCATGTCAAGTTTCAAGCCTTACAGAGGAAGTTTGCTCAGTCAATTGCTCAAAGGCCTGGAAATCAACTGTGCTAGGGCAAAAGTCAACTGTGGCCCACATACAGTCAAACTTCAAGATTTTTGGTCAACATTCTCATTTTGAAGTATTATTCATCATTTGATCAAGGTTTAATCATTATTCCTCAAGGATTTTTCACAATTCATCAAAGCCCAAAAGTTGTTAAATTAGGGTTTTGCAGGAAAAGTCAACTCAACTTTAACCAAGCATAACTTTCTCATACTTTATCAAAAATGACCCATCCAAAGCTCATTTTGAAGAGGATATAATTCCCTACAATTCATCTTCATCTCCCAAGTTCAAAATATTCACTCACAAGAATATATGAATTTGGACATTATAGGTCATTTTAGAAAGTCAACAAAAACACCTTTTATGTCAAAGCTTCATACATGAACATGGAAGACTCAATTTAGATGATACCAAAATGGTTTCTTAGAGGACATCTTAAGCTTTCTAAAAAGTAAAAGAACACCTCTCTAGGGTCAAAATTGAGAGAGTTGTGCATTGGCCAAGTTGACATTTTTTGCAAAATTGCCAAAAGTCAAATGTGTCAAAAATTGCATTTTTTGCTAAATGGGCCCAACTTTTTATGCTTGCACTGAGTTTGTAATGTGACCTACGACCCATGAGCCCTTCCACTTGTCATTATTTTATTTTTGTCATTTATTTTGATTTTATTTCATTTAAATCAAAATAAAATAATGAAAATATCAAAAACTAATTAAAGCTTGAGATTTTATGCATGATTAGGTCCATTACACAGTTGGAGACAAAATCAAATCGTGCAAGGTTCACATGGACACAAAAAGATTGAGTTTTCTTGTTTTGGAAAGATTTTGCACAAGGATCAAATCATGAATCAATATTCATAATTGGAAGAGATTTGATACAAAATTGTAACCCTAATGCATTCTACTATACATAAGGAACAAGTGCAGACCCAAAAAAAAAGAGGTTGGAGGTGTGCAAGAGAGAAAACAAGTTTCAAAAAATTCAAGAAAAGTGGCAAACTGATTTCCACGTTTCAGATCACTTCAAGTCATTCTACTCATCCCAATCGATTGTTGGACTTCCCATGATCAAGATTCAATTGCTAGCAAGCCTCCTCACACTCAGAATCACGCTGTAAGGTTCATACGGTTTGCGCATTTTCTTGAATTCAAAAATCTTAATTCTGGCATCCTTAACATGATTGATTGGCATATTCTTAAACCTTGTGATGTTTGCAAGCTAATGGTTATATTTAATTGCGTTTTTACTGACTGAACATAAAAGTGCCATGGTTAGGGTTTTTGCTTTATTTTTAGGGGTTTCTTGTACAAGTACAATTAGGCATGGATAATAGTACCATGATGCTCGTGAGGTTGCAACGAGTTGAGTGATACCATTGGTTGTGATTTATCATGCTTGCATAGGGTTTTGGAGATGCATAGGGTTATACCTACGCCTGGTGTCCGTAGGCAAAAGCCATGTAATTTACAGCGACGGTGGGAGGAAGAAGAAAGTAACGTGGCACTCCCTGACTTGCCAATTCAAATTTCGCGCGTTTTAAATATAACTTTTTTTCTTTTGTCATATTATATTTTTTGTTAATCATATGTACAACTAACACAACCAGCTCAACTGGCAAGCGCGCAGTGGGAGAATGCCTAAGGGCCTGGGTTTGATCCCTAGGTCCCAATATTGCTTCATATTATTTTTCTTGACATAATCAGTTGCACAAGGATCCCCTGCGTCCACCATACATCATCAGTATCCAACCATCAGATCATCAACCTGCTATAATACCCCAAATTTGTCCTACCCTTCTACTTTTATCTGGTTTACGCATTGTCGCACTTTTCTCATGTACATAACTCCATTAGGTCATTTAACATTGCATACATTCGCTAACAACATAACTTGGCATGGGATCAAATATTTTGAGGTGTATGGTTTCTCTTTGGCTTTAAGAGTCTCACTTTCATTCAAGGCTGATTCATGTTATTTACTTAACAATCTTTGGATTATGGAGCTAGGGTTTTTGTGTGCATGATTCATCGAGAATTTCCTGCATCGGGATATTATAAGACATCCATCTTTAAGGTCCCTTCAAAAGCATCAAGTTTTTACTACCTTCTCAATGACTCGGATTCAAATGAGAATGCTTTGAATTAAGGTTTTTGTACTTATCTTCATCGTTGCAAGGGTCAGATTCCTGATAGGAGTCTATGAGTTTGAGGATGCTTGGGTGATACTTTGGTTGCTCGGGATACATGGTACAAGATATGGTTTGTGGATTCAAAACATCATCACTCTGTTAGATATCAGTTACTTATCATGCAAGTTAAATCCGGCTCGAATTTGGAGAGTTAAAATTAGAGGTTCATTGAGAATACAAGATAACTTGGATTTGAAGTCGATTCAAGTGGTTCCATTATAAAAGTTTGGTAAGCATTCGATCATAAGGATGTTTTTTGAAAGCAAGATGCAAAATATAAGGGCTAAGATACAAAGGCGTTCGCGCAAAGTTCAAACTCTTCATCCGTAAATTCATCATCCTTTATCCAAGTTTATCCAAACTAAATCATTTCCAAATCCATCATTCATCATTATCATTCAACAAAAGCTTGTTCAAATTTCTCATTATTCATTCGAACATTAAAGAATAATAAACATGGATTTCTGAGTGATGGAAATAAAGTATGGATCTTTTTGTCATGGCAAGCTTAAAACTTGAAGTTCCATTCGAAATGTTATTCAAGTATCGATAAAATCTTATCCAAATTCATTCAAAGTGCAATTAGAGTATGGAAGCATCATTCATTTATCATCCATCAAAATTAGGGATCTATTCCCATTTCTTCCATCAATGTTTGTTTCAGGGACTTAAGCTAAGTATTCAAAATAGCGTGGATACTACGTGGAAATCATTTGAAAAGAAATAAAATGGGTAGAAAGGTTCATGCTTTGGTGTTTGGAAATTCGCTTCTTTCATTCTACTCTATCTTTGGTGAAACGGAAACTGCAAGGTTTCTGTTTGATAAAATGCCTGTGAGGGACTTAACTTCTTGGAACACTGATATCTGGGTATGTTAAGAATAATCAATCAGGGAATACTTTGGTGGTTTTTGATAGAATGATAAGATGTATGGTGTTATTGGAGATAGGATTACTTTGCTTGCTCTTTTTGTTTGTTTGAATAACTCAAACTCGAGGGTGGACTGAGTGAAGTCTCACTTTTTGCAGATCCTGTCATTCAATTATAGGATTCAACAACTGAGTTAGTTATAAGATGAATTATTTGGGCCATCATAAGTATAAGATTAAGAATTTAATTTAACTTCATATGACCCAATATAACATTTAAGTGATATGGTTTCAGAAGTATACACTCTTATTTGAGTATATTTTTTTCACTTTTATGGATATAGTGATATTGATGTGTTTATAAGCAGATAGCTCAGTGTTTCGATAAAACACAGTTTATTAATCTCACATATAGGAAAGCACACAAAAAAAATACACACAAGAGGAAATGTTTAGATGTCTAAACATTGCTTCATTATTCAAATATTATTTGCGTAGCACATGTAGGAGCATTATGAAAATCCCAAGCAGTAGATATTATTTCCGGCTGGTGCCATGACCATTCTTCCTGTCAAATTGGGAAGTTAGCCATCAACTTTCAAGTCTGTTTCTGAATCCCAAGGGAACGGCTGGATTGGCTTAGTTGCCTCAAGAAGAACATCAACAGGAATATTTGGTTCTGATCGCTTTAATGGTGGTATGCCATGATTGTAGTCTTGAGGATCTTCACGGTAATCCTACAATTTGAAGGGAAAGGTTTCAGAGGCAGCAAAGTGATTATTAAACTTAAGACAAAGTTCTAAACATGACAATATGAATTTGGTCCTAAAACATAAGAATTCTAAGTTTCTATACTTATGAACTTCATGCTTTTGGTTGCAAAAACCAAACTTCAAGCTTCCATAACATCTCAAAGTAATCTCCATGCTTGATGCCCTTATGTCTTGAATTTCTTCACCATGTTTTATTCGCATCATCCATGGCCAAACTTGCTGTTAAAACCATCTTCAATATACCTTTTCATTCACCATGCCAAGCTGCACCACTGAACCTGCACCACACACATTCATTATCATGATCATAAAATCTAAAAATATAGCATAAAACTAACATGTTCATGCACACATCAAGTCACCCTGTTGTTTCAAGAATACCATGACATCACATCTGCTTGCTAACCTCACTCCACCTTCAATGTATTTTCATAACCGAAAATAACTGATACTAAGAGAAATCCATCTCGGTAATTCACTTCATTAACTTTCCTAACATATTTTTTCTAACTTCTCATTAACCATAACAAACTAACAGTAATTCCTAACAGTCCTTTTCTAACTCATTCCTAGTTATAATCCAAAACCATATCTCAATTAACCAAAACCAATTCCATAACCAGAAAATAGAAACAGCCCTGTAACCAACTTAACCAACCCAAAACAGTTACAGCATAACTAACATTCAGTAACCAACTGCATAACAAACTCATCCCTAACCAACTAACAGTCCAACAAACCCCTAACCAATTTTCCCAACAAACTCTGCAGAAAATATAAATAGAGTACACAGCATATGCAAAAGGGGATAGACAGAATAGAGGGCACGATTCATTCATAAGAAGAATTACAGAAAATTTCAACACTCACCTTTCAACTTTCTCTCTGTGCAATCAATCTTGATTCTTCACAACTGAATCACCATCATTTACAAAAGATTCTCTGAAAACAACTTCACCTCTCTCGGCACTTTCTCTCTGAATCTTCATCATCTTCATCTAAGAAATTATATGCAACTGTTATCATCAACATCACTTCTCCTTCTTTCATCTTCAACAATCATCATTTCTGCAATGCTGCAAACGCATCTGCTTCACTCTTATCGTCTCTTCTCAACATCTCACGCATAATCTTCATCAACAACAGCAATTCACAGAAGCAGCATAAATTGAAGAAGAAGAAGAGCACAACACTTCTAAACAAGAAAGATAAAGAAGTTATTACCTGCAACGAAGATTCCCCTGGATTTCCGGCACATTCATCACGGCAAAGGGCCGTCGGAGCCACTCCGACATGTAAGTACCGAACCTCCTCCAATTCTTCATCTTTTTTCTCTTTCTTGGTATCACGATGCACCATTTGATATGCTGAACCGTTCCCCCTTGCTCACTGAGATGTAACCTCCTTCATCAGCATCTAATTGCATGCTTAGGTCATTTTAGGTTTTGTTCTTTGAGCTCAATTTGGACGTTTAGTGAAATTGGAGGAAATTGAATAGAAAGAAACGAATTAAGGTTGTGTGTGGTTATTAGAAGCAAAGATGACGGAGGCGAAGAGAGAGAACTGCCGCGTCGGAAGAGGTTGAGGCGACAGAAGAAGAAGACGGCGGAGGGAGGTGTACGCCGCGAGAGAGGAAAGGAAACAAGAATCTGAACCTTTTCTCTAAAACCCTACTCCTAATTCAATTTCATTTTTTTATTTTTTTATTTTTATTTATTTATTTATTTATTATTTCCTTTTAATTGTAATAAAATAAAATCCTAGATCCAAATAACTTTGTTGGGCCTGAGTACTTTGTTAACCTCCCTTTAGCCCGCGAACCGTTTTTTGGAACTAATTTGTAAGCAAAACAAAAACTAGTCGTGGACTCAACCAGTTGGGCCCAACGTCCTTACTAAGCCATACACCCTGAATTCAGTTTATATCCCTGGGGTTAATCTATGACTTTCTTTTAATTTCATTCATTTTTTTTTACTTTTTAATTTTAATGTTTTTATGTTAATAAAATTATAAACTCAATAAAAAAAAGACTTGTTAAAATTTCTTAAATAAAATTTAGGAGTTAATTCTTTAGTCTTCAATAGAATTTTCCCCACGAAAAAACTAATAAAAATACTTTTTCTTTTAGTTTTTATTCATATTTTCTTATGTTGTGCCTCGTTATTTTTGATACGTTTGTTCATTGTGCGAGGAATTTCTGATTATGCTTTGCATTTGCAATACGCGTTCGCTTTTATCTTAGTTAAATATTGTTTCTTGGTGAAGCTTGCTCGACGAGTACTCCTTGATTTTTTCAGTACTTTCGATTCGCTCTTGACGACTTGCTCACTTTGGTAGCCTCCGCTGCTACTCTTACACTTCTCTTCATTTTATTGTAATTCGTTATCACTTTATAGAAATCATGAGAAATAGGGTGTTATCACAAACCATATGCATGCTAACATTAGGTAGAATTCCCTCATTCATTCTAACTTTAGGTCTAACCACGCATGATAAAATTAGGTTTAGAAATAGGATAATTCCCCTTTAACTTTGCTTCCTTTTTTGCATACGCATCTAAAACTAAAACTTCTTTTCTTTCAAATTTCAAAACACTTAAAAAACTACTGATGAGAATCATGCTTTTGCTTAGTACGGGAAATGATAAGCGGGTCTCTTCTCGATCTTATTGTTCTTCATCTCAAGCATAGGTGTGATTCAATTCTCAAAGACTCCTTTCATGACTAAGTAGAAAAATGGCTAATATCTCTCTCTTGAGGTCAATCAGTCATCATCTACAACAAAAATACAAAACAAACTCAAATATTTTGTGCGCTCGAGCACTTTCTTAAAAAAACCTTTTCAGGTAAGGACACGATTAATTTACTTCTGTGCCAACGCATAAGTCTCCAAAGATCGAGTTGCGGCAGAAGGCGGAATTAACTTCGTCCATAAAAAACACAAACAAACAAAAACATATGAGCCGAACTACAGTAGCTCTGATTCCTCAAAACGGATACGTAGGCATTGGGGTAGGGCCCAAGCGAGCACAATTTTATTTTCCCTACATTCTTTTTCCCTTTTCTTTTGCATGCATTCTCCCTTAGCAGTAATAAACAGTAAGTATAGATTAAACACACCCATAAGATAGATAACAAGAGTGGATACCGTAGAGTACTACGGGCGTGTGGGGTGCTAATACCTTCCCCTCGCGTAACAGACTCCCTTACCCGATCTCTCGGTCGCAAGACCGTGACTTCTCCCTTCTCAGGTTTTCTCGATGTTTACCTTTCCCTACATGTGGGATAAAAGACGTTCGATGGCGACTTCATTGTTTGATGATTTTCAGTCGGTTGTTTCACCTGCCAGATCCAAGGATTCTCCCATGAGGGTCCACCATACGCCCAGTCAAGCAGGCACACAGGATTGAAAAAGTCAAACAGGCCAGGAGCTTATTGGGCCCAGAAAATTGAAAACAACACCCCCTTTCTTGCTAAACAGCAACCAGGCCCATTCTTATTCTTTTTTCTATTTCCTTTTATTTATTTAATTTTCTTAATTATTTGTTAACCAAAATTAGTTTCTTTTTTTCACAAAAAATCATAAAAATCAAGTTTCACAAATTTAGAATTAGGTTTTTTTATTTTATCAAATTTAATTTAATATTTAGTTTAAATTTAATTTAGGGTAATTCTAACTTTTTATATATAATTAAAATCAATTAGAAAAATTAGGGTTAGCTTGTGATTTAATTTTTATTTCTTTTTCAAATCAAATAAAAAAATAAAAAAATAGGTTAATTCAATTATTTTTCTTAAATTTGAATTAATTAGTAATTAGGTTTTTTTATTATTATTCAATTAAACTTTATTTTCTCAAATAACTTAAAAACCACAAAAAAATAATTTTTCTTTTAAATTACAATTAGGTAGTTGGGGTCAAAACCCTAAATCTCTCGTTTTCGATTCATTGCGCGCATTTATTATTTTTGCAATATTAATGTAATTGCTCACGGTATGTAATAGTTTAATCTAGGACTCTCTTATTTATCGTTTTATGGGTTTTTTGGCTATGTAATTAATCCCTACCCTGACGCCTTGTAATAGCGTAGGTTTTATTTCTTGCATTTTAATTCTCGCAAATATTAACTGTTAGATGTATGTTAATAGGATTGTATGACAAGATTGCATGATAATTTAAATCGGCTAGAAAACCCTAATGTGCAAAGATAATAATTGAAATCAAATCACTCGCACATGCGCACTCTTAGGGTATACTCTCACTTCGGTTGCCTTCGGTAAACGATCATTAAGTATAGGGTGTCTTAGTGGTTGCCCTCCTGTCTAACAAAGATCAAAAGTCCCGTTCGAAAATGTTGCCTCGGAAATGTTGCCTCGAATAAGATCTTAAGACTCTAGGGTTATTACTAAGATGCCCTAACATTGCTTTAGTGATCGTACGTCCCTTTTCGAATTGACCCTTACAATTCCAACGATGGTGCTACCTATTTCTCAATAGTGGGATAGCGCTGCCTAAAGGAAACAAGAACAAAAACGATCTTTTTTCGAGTAGGTAGATGCTAGTAGGTACTTTCTCAAATCAAACTTTTTCACACCAAACACTTTTCAAACAAAGTTTTCAAAAAACACTTCGTAAAACTCTTGAGGATAGAAACAAGGGTTAAAACGAAGTAAGACAAAACTTTTCAAAACAAACACACACAAGCAATTTTAAAGATGAGCAAGTACCTAAGATCCCATGGAAAACCATGGATAGAAAGGGTGCTAACACCTTCCCTTTCTATAATCTACCCCCCGTACTCAAAATCTCGACAAAGGAATTTTTCTGTGCTTTTTTCCTTTCGAGTTGGATAAAATAAAAGTCGGTGGTGACTCTTGCTTACCGCGACATTTTGCGAATAAAAAACACAAAACGCAAACCAGCATTTTCAAAACAGTCGGTTCTACCACCGTATCACACTTTCCAATAATGATTTTGATTTTAATATTTTTGCATGAGATTTGCATTTAAATTATCATTTTTGGGTGAACAATTTTATTTGCGAACATGTTTTCATTATCTAGGAATTTTCAAACTGTCAAGAAACTTGGTCTATATTTTAATCAGGGGCAAGTATCTTCACGGTCCTGTTGAAGCTTATTCCCAGATTTGTTTATCAGTATCTGCTTCCCTTACAAGTTTGTCAGAATTTATTCTTCAAGACTCATACATGGGCAAGCGTTTCAAGCGCACAATGAAGCAATCATTTTAAGAATCATTCAAACTGAAGCAATGATCAGTTAACCAGAAGCAGTTAT